AGCTCCAGTATGAAACTGGAGAAAAGCCTGTTGAGAGTCTTTGGGTTAAGTTTACAGACGAGAGCAAAAAGGGTGATGTTGTGGTGGGAGGATGAGGTAGATGAGGCTTTCTTCGGACAACTAACAGAAATTTCCAGATCACAGGCTCTGGTTCTCATGGGGGACTTCAATCACCTTGACATCAGCTGGGAGAGCAATACAGTAGTACACAGACAATCCAGGATGTTTTTGGAGAGTGTTAGGGAAAACTTCCTGATGCCAGTGCTGGAGGAACCAATTGGGGGCCGCGCTCCTCTTGACTTGCTGCTCACAAACAGGGAAGAATTGGTAGGGGAAGTAGAAGTGGGTGGCAACCTGGACAGCAGTAACTGTGCGATGGTCGAGTTCAGGATCCTGACAAAAGGAAGAAAGAAGAGCAGCAGAATACGGACTTCAGAAAAGCAGACTTTGACTCCCTCAGGGAACTGATGGGCAGGATCCCCCAGGAGGCTAATATGCGGGGGAAAGGAGTCCAGGAAAGCTGACTGTATTTTAAAGAAGCCTTATTGAGGGCGCAGGAACAAACCATCCCGATGTGCAGAAAGAATAGCAAATATGGCAGGCGACCAGCTTGGCTTAACAGTGAAATCTTTGGTGGGCTTAAACACAAAAAAGGAAGTTTACAAGAAGTGGAAACTTGGACAGATGACTAGGGAGGTGTATAAAAATATTGCTCGAGCATGCAGAGGTGTAATCAGGAAGGCCAAAGCACAACTGCAGTTTTAGCTAGCAAGAGATGTGAAGGGTAACAAGACAGGTTTCTACAGGTATGTTAGCAACAAGAAGAAGGTCAGGGAAAGTGTGGGACCCTTACTGAATGGGGAAGGTAACCTAGTGACAGATGATGTGGAAAAAGCTGAAGTACTGAATGCTTTTTTTTGACTCGGTCTTCACAGACAAGGTCAGCTTCCAGACTACTGCACTGTGCAACACAGTATGGGGAGGAGGCAAGCAACCCTCAGTGGTGAAAGAATAGGTTATGGGCTATTTAGAAAAGCTGGATATGCACAAGTCCATGGGGCCGGATGCAAAGCATCAGAGGATGCTGAGGAAGTTGGATGTTGTGATTGCAGAGCCATTGGCCATTATCTTTGAAAACTCGTGGTAATCAGGGGAAGTCCCGGACAACTGGAAAAAGGCAACTATAGTGCCCATCTTTAAAAAAGGGAAGAAGGAGAATCCAGCGAACTACAGACCAGTCAGCCTCACCTCAGTCTCCACAAAAATTGTGGAGCAGGTCCTCAAGGAATCCATTTTGAAGCACTTGGAGGAGAGGAAGGTGATCAGGAACAGTCAACATGGATTCACCAAGGGCAAATCATGCCTGACCAACCTGATTGCCTTCTATGATAACTGGCTCTGTGGATAGGGGGAAAGTAGTAAACATGATATACCTTGACTTTAGCAAAGCTTTTGATATGGTCTCCCACAGCATTTCTGCCAGCAAGTTAAAGAAGTATGGATTGGATGAGTGGACTATAAGATGGACAGAAAGCTGGCTAGATTGTCAGACTCAATGGGTACTGATCAACAGCTCGATGTCTAGCTGAAAGCTAGTATAAAGCGGAATGCCCCAGGTCTGTCCTGGGCGCGGTTTTGTTCAACATCTTCATTAATGATCTGGCTGATGGGGTAGATTGCAGTCTTCCCTCATAGGTCATGTTTTCTAGACCTTTAATCATTTTTGTTGCTCTTCTCTGGACTTTCTCCAATTTGTCCACATCTTTCCTGAAATGTGGCACTGAGAACTGGACACAATACTCCAGTTGAGGCCTAATCAGTGCGGAGTAGAGCGGAAGAATTACTTCTCATCTTTTGCTTACACTCCTGCTAATATATCCCAGAATGATGTTTGCTTTTTTTGCAACAGAGTTACACTGTTGATTCATATTTAGCTTATGGTCCACTATGACCTCCAGATCCCTTTCCACAGTGCTGCTTCCTAGGCAGTCATTTCCCATTTCGTATGTGTGCAACTGATTGTTCCTTCCTAAATGGAGTACTCTGCGTTTTTCCTTATTGAATTTCATCCTATTTACTTCAGACCATTTCTCCAGTTTGTCCAGATCATTTTGAATTTTAATTCTATCCTCCAAAGCACTTGCAACCCCTCCCAGCTTGGTATTGTCTCCAAACTTTTATAAGTGTACCCCCTATACCATTATCTAAATCATCGATGAAGATATTGAACAGAACCTGACCCAGTACTGATCCCAGTGGGACCCCGCTCGTTACGCCCTTCCAGCATGACTGTGAACCACTGATAACTACTCTCTGGGAACGAGTATCAGGGGGTAGCCGTGTTAGTCTGTATCCACAAAAACAAGAACGTTAATCTGTATCCACAAAAACAACAAGTTGCATCTGAAGAAGTGGTGTTTTACCCACGAAAGCTTATTCCCTAATAAATCTGTTAGTCTTTAAGGTGCCACCAGACTCCTTGTTGTTTCTCTGGGAACGGTTTTCCAACCAGTTTTGCCCCCACCTTATAGTAGCTTCATCTAGATTGTATTTCCCTAGTTTATTTGTGAGAAGGTCATGTGAGACAGTTTAAAAAGCTTTACTAAAATCAAGATATACCACAGCTATCACTTCCCCCCATCCACAAGACTTGTTACCCTGTCAAAAAAAGCTATCAGATTGGTTTGACACTATTTGTTCTTGACAAATCCATGGTGACTGTTACTTATTACCTTATTATCTTCTAGATGTTTGCAAATTGATTGCTTAATTATTTGCTCCATTATCTTTCCAGGTACAGAAATTAAGCTGACTAGTCTGTAATTCCCCGAGTTGTCCAAATTTCCCTTTTTATAGATGGGAACTATATTTGGCCCTTTCCAGTCTTCTGGAATGACTTGAAGATATCTAACTTGTCTAAGTAATTTTTAACTTGTTCTTTTCTTATTTTAGCCTCTGATCCTACCTCATTTTCACTGACATTCACCATGTTAGACGTCCAATCACCAACAACCTTCTTGGTGAAAACCGAAAGAAAGAAGGAATTAAGCCATTTCCACATTTTCTGTTATTATTTCCACCCCCTCATTGAGTAACGGGCCTAGCCTGTCCTTGGTCTTCAATCTGCTATTGTGCTGTCCTTTCATTTAGGATTATATTTTGCTGAAGTTCCTCAGTCTTTTCTAGTCTTGATTGACTTAAATGTCATCTGCGAATGTTGTCACCTCACTGTTTGACACCTTTTTCCACATCATGAATAAACACCACACTTTGTGCCTAAAGGCATTGTACTATTAACCTTTGCCATGGTGAAAATTTTACCTTTTACTCCTACCTGTGACTTTTGTTTCCTAGTCAGTTTATAATCTGATAGTATATTGCATCTCATTCCAGTACTCCTGGATTCCTTATAGTCCCTAAAAAAAGATATTGTTAAAGGCTTTATGAAAAGCCTGTCAATCAATTTTTCTTCATCTACTATTTAGGTGGTCCCCAAACTGTGGGAGGAACATTTGCAGGGGCATGTGGGAAGGTCAGGGCCAGCCCCCATGGGGGGCGGGGAGGGAGCAACACCCATCTCTGGCCCCACCTCCACTCCACCCCCTGTTCTGCCCCTAGCCCAGTTCAAATCCACCCCCTGCCAAACTCTGCCCTCATTCCTTCTCCACCCTAAGGCCAGCTCCACCTCTAGCCCTAGCTTCTCCCCCATCCCCAGTTCTGACCCAAGCTCCTCTGCTGAGGAAGCCTTGGCTGTGCAGCAATGGAGGTGAGGCATGGACAGATTCCTTTGCTGGTAAGAGAGGGGGAGGCATGATAGGAAAAAGTTTGGACCCCACTGCACTATTTTAATTACTACAATTATTTGAGCATGTTGACTGGAGGTACAATTTTCTTTTACAGGAGCTGTAATGGTTAGCGCCTATCATATAGTTTGGGGTTTTTTTTAAATAGTTTACTGTTTCAGCCAACTTTGCTAGTACTAAAGCTAAAGTCAGTGGCCTACATTTGAGGCTCACTTGAAAGCCTTCAATTCTCTTGGATTAACAGCTGGTGACTTTGCTCTTTCATGAATTTGTTCTAGCACCCTCGCTGTTTTGACATGTCTTATTTTGTGGTATTACCTCCTTTATATTACCTGAAAAAGGGTCACAGTGGGGTAGATATCTTTATCCTTTGAAGACTGATGCAAGGAAATGATTTGGCTCCTTTGCATTATCTATGTCCTCAATTACTCCTTGGTACTCCAGAAGTCCTTCTGATTGTTTTAGGCTTCTTCCTGACAAGCTGGAATAATCTCATTTGTGTGTGCATTTTACATCTCACTTGAACACAATGTTAAAGAAGAATTAGCTAGTTTGTGCTATAACTCAGTGGTTGAGTCATAGCCGTGAGTTAAATCATTACAAGCCTAGAACTGACCAGCTGGAGAACTAATTTAGGATGTTGAAAAAAATCAGTTTTAACTTTCTGCTGTGGTGATACTTGGCCAGTTCACAGGCAGGTAGCTGGAGATGCCCGTTATTAGCCTTTAATTAGACCGGACTGCCTCTCCCCCAATATCCCGCACCAGGACCCCTTCACTGGTCCTATAAGGCGGCTGCTGTTGTATTTGTCTTCCTGGGAGAAAGACTGGTCCCCTCCCCCACCCGGTGGCCCTGTCTCCACCGGCTCTGTTCCGTGCTGGGGGCTCTGAAGAGACATGAGCAACCCCGAGGTGCCCGCCGCCCGCTGAAGAGTGCGGGCTTCCAGACCCCGGTCCACGCAGGCGGCAGAGCTGTTCCCCCCACCCCCATCAGAACCCTTCCTTGGGCCAGGCTAATGCTAGAGGGGACCCAGCCCCGCCCAGAGAAAGCTGGGCGCATGCGCTGACCATGTAAATGGCCCGCTGCCCGCCCCGTCGCATGTGACCACAGCGCTTGTGCAACCTAACAAGCGTAGGGGCAGCGCCTTGTGCTGCAGCCAATCACGTTGTAGAGGCGTGGCCTTTCCGAGCCTGCGCGTGGAGTGAGTGGGGCTGCAGGGCCTGGAAGGAAGGCGTCCCGCGGGGTGGAGCCTCTTAGGGCCGGGCTCTGGAGTTCAGCTGCTGCTGGCGGCGGGAGGCGGCAGCTGCCTCGGCCAGGATGGTGTCGTGGATAATCTCCCGAGCGGTTGTGTAAGTGACCCGGTCCGGTCTCCTGTGGGGACTGTGCTCGGGAGCCCAAGTGTCTCCTCTTTTGTGTGGGCAGGGGTCGGCCTGGGGGGGATGGCTCGCGGCCGGGGACCACGGCGACCCTGCCGAGGCCCCTGCGCAGCTGGCGCGGTTCAGCCGTGCGCCCCCGGGGCTGTTGTTAGCGTCTCCTTAGTGCCATCAAGGAGGGACGCGAAGGCCGTCCTGTGCAGCCGAAGCGCCGCCCGGTGGCCTCTCTGCTCCTGGGCCCCTGACAGTGGGCGGCATTTATGGCCTGGTGTCCCCGGTTCGGCCCCTTTGTCTGGTTGCTGTCACTTGACATTCCTGCGCTGCAGTAACGTGCAGACAGCTTGGGGGGAGGGGAGCCGAGTCCTGGGGAATGGGCCCCCAGGGCTGTGTCTCCAGAGGGCTCCCTGCTCCCAGTGTGACAGCCTGAACCAGATTCCTGTGCCCTCGGGCAGCCTGCTTCGGTCATGTGTGGGCTTGACCTTTGTCTGCCTATGCTTCCAGCGGCTTAGTAACGCATGGAAACGTTTCGTGTCTCCCTCTGGGGGAGGGAACTCCAGTTATTAGGAAGAGACCGATATTAGTAATGGGCCATTTGATCATTAAAAACATAGATAGCTGGGTATGTGATGACTGGGAGAAGTGACTTGCCTGCCTGGTGCAAAGGTTGCAGATCTCTTGAGACATCTAGACAGGTTTATGTGTAGTGTTGGGGAGGAGCCAGTGGTTGTGGTACATGTAGCTACCAATGACATAGGGAAGGATAGGCGAGAGGTCCTGGAGACCAAATGAAGGCTGCAAGGTAGGAGATGGAAGTCCAGGGCCTCCATGGTAGCATTCTCTTAAATGCTTCCAGTTCCATGCCCAGGGCCAGTTAGACAGGCAGAAATGCAGGGTCTTAATGCATGGATGAGGTGATGGTGTAAGGAGTAGGGGTTTACATTTATTAGGCACTGGGGAAACTTTGGGGAAAGGGGGGGCTTATACAGGAAGCCTGGGCTCCACCTAACCAAAATGGAAGCAGATTGCTGGTGCTTAAAATTAAAAAGGTGCTGTAATAAAATTAAAAAGATGTAATAATGAGTTGGGGAGAGACTCAACCAGGCCCCTGGCTAATAGGTATCTATAGAATAAGATTCCAGGATTGCCACTCTGGTACTTGCAAGGTCTGAGTGAGTGATGGACAGAGCTATAAGCATGGTTGAGGGCTCTTTGAACCTGGTGATATGTTCAGCTATCCTCACTGGGGTTTGAAGTTTGTTATCCTACAATTTAAGTATCAGCCATTTTGACTTGTGTGGGTATACTCAGGTATCAATGCTTCAAGAGTCCTAGACCATTGTGATATCAGAGATAGGTAACTAAACCAATCACCACATTGACTTTACAGCTAATTTGCATATAACAATTTGGTTGTTGTAGGGAGACTACACAGATGATGGAGTATTTGGCCCAACTGGCACACCTGTGTGAGAGGGTGGGGTTTTAGCTATTAATTAGTCTATAACATTACACCTTCAGACTTTGCTAACATTGTGTAAGCTAAATCTGCTGAATTTATGGCGGCAATCAGTTTCCTGACCTGAAGTATAATTGATATATCTACATACTAACCCAAGAGTAGCTTTGTGTGATACCAGAGCTTCTCCTACAATGTGATTGGCCATTTTCCTCCCCCCCCTTATTAGAGTATACAATAGGCATATAGCTTAAACATAATTATTGTATTAAATAATAGCTACATTTCCATAACATGTGATACTTAAAAAAAAATAAGCAAGTTAACTGTTTAAAACATTTGTCCAGTAACAGTTTTAAAGAATGGTGTAGAATTTTTAGGAACAGCTGCAGTGTGACCTCTTAAATTTCACAGGGTTCAAAATGCTTACTAGGAACAAAAGAAAAAAAAACCTCACCAAAGAAACTTGTCACAAGAACAGAATACAAGGGATGCTACCAATCCTGATAAAGGTGACTTTTGGTTATCAGCAGCACTTACCTGAGAACCAATCCTATCTGATTGACTACAGTGTTAATGGCATTCGGATATTAGCAACTGTCATGCTGCATATAGACAACTGGGGGGGGGGGTTAGGTGTTTTTTTGCGGGGGGTGGTTGACCTCAGTCATAGGCAGATTTGTTAGGCTGCAACTAAGGAAGGAAGCACTGCAACTTGCTCAGGGAGAGGTCCATCCAACCCCAGTGCTTGCTTCCCTGTCTGTGTTCCTGCAAACCTGCCTGTGGCCAGTGACCTTCTTCTCTCTCAAGCAATAATGGGCTGTGGTGCCCAATCCTTGTCCAACTGGGGAGCCCTGTGGAAAGCTGTGGACAGGGACGCAGCAGGGAGGGGTACTGCAGCCTGGATTCTGAGCCTTTCTACGGGGACCGGTGGGGGGCGGGCGGGGGGGGGGGGGGGTTGAAGGCCTGTAGAGCTGCATGGTATCTCTGCCTATTCTATCCAGGCTGCGTTCTACCATGGTGCTGGAGATCCGGGTTTAGCACATCCCATAGTGCTTCCCTGGCTGCACCAAAAAAAAATAGGTGTTGGAGTAGAGGGTGGGAGGGCTGCTGAGTGAGTGTATGGCCATAAAAGATAAGGAAACAAATGTGAAGAGGAGAGATGTGCTGGTGTACTAGCTTTCCTGTGGATGCTCCTAATGCCAACAGTAAGATGGCGCTTAAGAGGATAAATTCTAAAAGTGAAAAGTGTTGGGCCTTTTCCGTATTCAAATATTGACTGTTATATTGTAATGAAAATGCCTACACTTTGACCTAAACTGCTTGATAATCTCTATCCATTTTCAAGAAAATGCTTTTCTCTCATGAAGCTGATATTTTTTGCTGTTTCTGCTGTTTCTATTTACAGTAATAGTCATGAAGCTGAGGCTGTAAACTTTTTATTTGTTGTAAGGAAATCATTCCCATGTTGTTGAGCTTGTTTCTCTGCTGCTGTCTTATCCCTCATTTTGGATTTTGACAGTTTTCCCTGTAACTTAAGCTTTATTTGTTTTGACAAACTTCACAGAACAAAGCCCCAAACTAACTGTTCAGTCTTGATAGCGGATGCTTAAATGAGTCCAGAAAAATCTTAAGTCAACTTACCCAGTTCGCAAACAAATGTTGTAGTCAAAGATATTGCTAGTCAATGTTTAGATCGCTGATGGGTAAAGTAGACTGTGACTGCAAGCATCCCTATTCAAATACTCAATGCATACAGTCATATGTAAACATGCTCATATCAAATGTGTAGCTAAGTATGCAGTCACCTGCTTCCACTTATTTCTGTTACTGCATTAGGTCACATATAATTAATACAAAGCAATATAATGTTTGATAAGAACTTCAGTGGGTTAAAAAAGCAGAGTCAGCTATCTCATGTAGTAGTTTCATGTATTGTTGAAAGCAGCAGTCCTAGACTAGCCATGGCTGAGAACCTTAGTTTGTAATTATGACATATGGCCCATAATGATGATGCTGGGCATTATTTTACACAAAATGACTGAATGTTGTAGTTGGCACATCTCTCATCCAGAGACTTAAAAGTAAATTAATGCTACAGCAGCTTGTGCAAGAAGCAGGTTGTTATCCCCACTTTTCAGATTTTTATGGGGAGGAAGGGGAGAACTGAGGCAGTATGTAGTGTGAGTTCTGCTCTTCATTGACTCTCCTTGAGAGGCTCAGATAATTTTTGTCTTTTCTGGGAGAAGGGGAGATGTTTAAAAGTACAGGTCTTAAGACCCCCTTCGTACTCTGCTTGCCCCATTTCCTAGCTGCAGATCCCTGACAAAGTGGCTATATCCAGTATCTCAGAAAGGTGGAGGCAGGAGGATGGATGACTGCATCCAGGAGGGTAAACTAAGGGACTGTGAGGCAAGCGAACAGGTCCTGTGTGAGGCTCGGGGAGTAAAAACTGAAATGGAGTTGGTGAGGGAAGGGAGCTGGAGTGGGAAATGGGGAAGGAGGTCAGGAGAAGGTATGGGGCATGCTATAAGTAGGGCTCTACCAAATTCACAGTCCATTTTGGTGAACTTCACAGTCATGGGATTTTAAAAAATCCTAAATTTCATGATTTCAGCTATTTAAATATGAAATTTCATGGTGGTATAATTGTAGGGGTCCTGACCACTGTTCCTGCTAAGCTGTGTGCGTGATGTGTACACAGATCCTAAAATCTGGGCACACGGTGAAACACCGCGTGCACAAAAATTTGCACAGAAGAAATTTTTTTGTGTACACGGCCTGTCAAAAATTAGAGGGAACATTGGTCCTGACCCCAAAAATAGTTGTGGGGGGTCGCAAGGTTATTGTAGGGCCATTGCGGTATTGCTATCCTTACTTTTGCTGGTGGCGGCGGTGTTGCCTTCAGAGCTGGGCAGCTGGAGAGCAGTGGCTGCAGGCCAGGAGACGGCTCTGAAGGCGGAGCTGCTGCCAGCAGCTGCGCAGAAGTAAGGATGGCAGGGTATGGTATTGCCACTCTTACTTCTGTGCTGCAGCTGGCGGGGTGCTGCCTTGAGAGCTGGCCGCCCGGCCAACAGCTGCCACTCTCTGGCCACCCAGCTCTGAAGGCAGTGCAGAAGTCAGGGTTGCAATACTGCAATCCCCCTAAAATAACCTTGTGATTTCCTTTTGCGTCAGGACCCCCAATTTGAGAAACGCTAGTCTTCCCAGTGAAATCTGTATACTAGAGGGTAAAAGCACACAAAAGACCAGATTTGACGCAGGAGAGGGGGAGACCAGATTTCATGGTCTGTGACACGTTTTTCATGGACTTGAATTTGGTAGGGCCCCAGCTATAAGAGCCGGCTTTCAATTAAATGGTCTCCAGTCTTTGATTCCTTCCTGCTTCTGCTTCTTTCACCCAACTCCCAAGCTTGCTCTGGCTCCTTGCCCTGATAAATTTCCTTTCTTGCTTCTTGATCTGCTCCTCTGCCCTGCCCTGCCCTGCCCCCCTACCCCCGGCCATGTTCTGCTGGACCCA